GGTGACTTCACTGAAATGCATAAATCCTTAGGTACTTGACCGGTGGATGTGGAAAGGATGTCTCCTCTTGTGGGAGAATCTTGAACTAGGGGTTATAATTTAAAAATAAAGGTTGCCTATTTAAGATAGGGAATGAGGAAAAACATCTTCTCTTAAAGGTTGACAGTCTTTGGAATGTGTTGACGTTACAGAGCCTTTAGTTTTAAGTCAGATTTAGATAGATGCTTGATTACCAAGGGGATGAAAGATTATCAGGGATATGCAGGAATGTAGAGTTGAGATTCATATCAGATATTCTGTGATCTTAATGAATGGTGGAGCAGGTCAAAGAACTGATTAGTTTACTCTTGCTCCTTGTTTGTATGTTTATATCTAGATTAACGTGTTATTTATCCCATTGGATTTCATCAGATTATCCTGTATTTGGTTATATCAAAGTGCTTTCCTTCAGAGTAAACTGTTGTGGATGTAAAGGACTTTGAGAATTTTCAGAAACAGCATTGTATATATTAATGCCCTGAAAACACAAACTCAGAGGGATAAGAGTGTTAAGGATTTTGACTGGGGTTTCATTTAAAACAGACATAAATAACATAGATCATTAAAAAAAAACCTTTTTAACATTTAACAATGGTCAAAGTTGTCTAGATTATGCTAATTACAACAGCATGAGTTTTTCATTGCGTTGAAGTTTAGCCATCACAAGAGTCCACTAAACCAAAACATTACAGTAGCGGTGAAGAAACAGACTTGTGTGTTTTTAGTGTAAACATTATTTTAATAAAAATGGCTGGTTAGAATACAATGAGGAAGGTAAAAAAAAAAGTTATTATGAACAGACTTTTTTAGTTTTATGGTATAGGAAATCATTTTTGCTATGATTGTACTGGCTAATTAGTTGGACCGAAATGATTTGTTTTATTACACTACAGATGGATCAGCATATTTTATGACTTCTGGCACATTCTGTCTAGACAATGTGGTGGGGCAATCAAAAAGCTAATAAAATACAGGAATATACAGCCAAAAGAGAGTTAACACTAGTTTACCAAGATTACATGTAAAGCTGTACAATGCAACAGTCAGGTCATATTTTGTGTAATGCTTAAATTTAAATGCAGTGAAAGGGATGTCAGACTATGGAGGAGGTGTTTAGACATGAAGCAAGCACAAATGAGCAAAATGAATGATTGTTGTTTTCCATTCAAGAAATAGAAATCAGCAATGAAAATGTGGTAAAAAGCTGAATACAGCTTAGACAGAAGATGATGGGCAATGACTGAAATCTCTTTGGGCTTAAAAGTGCTTCAGTTAACTCTTATTTAAAAGTTAGGCTAACTTGTGGAACCAGCCATAATGGTAACCCAGTGAGATTTAAAATTAGTATCCTACAGGGAACAATAATGAATTTTGAGACTAAAATATCAGGCAGGGTAGATGGCAGAGTTAACAATTAGGAGTGTTAGGTATTGGATGGACCAGTTCCAGTGGTCCTTCACTTTTAAAGGTGTTATTTTGACACCAATGGTTAGAAATCCTAATGCAAAAACTTTTACCAATAATGTTAATGTTGCATAAAAATCTTCAGATAGTTGTAATAATTGTTACATTTTCTTATTAAAGCAATTTATTATGAAGAAAGGAAACTTTACTCTGAAAAAAATAATAAATTTTGGACTAACCCACCATTTTTCAGGCTGGAAACCTGTGACCAGCTGTGTGCCATAAGGATCGGTGCTGGGTCCATTGCTTTTATATAAATGATTCAGATGTGAACATAGGAGGCATCATTAGTAAGTTTGCAGATGACACCAAAATTGGAGATGTAGTGGACAGCGAAGAAGGTTACCGCAGAGTATAATGGGATCTTAATCAGATGGGCCACTGGGCAGAGGAGCACAGATAGAATATAATTTAGATAAATGCGGTGCTGTATTTTGGAAAGAGGACTTATACAGGACTTATACACTTAATGGTAAGGTCCTAGGGAGTGTTGCTGAACAAAGAGACCTTGAAGTGCAAGTTCGTAGTTCCTTGAATGTGGAGTCGCAGGTAGATAGGATAGTGAAGGCAGTGATTGGTAAGCTTGCTTTTATTGATCATAGGAGTTGGGAGGTCATGTTGTGGCTGTACAGGATATTTGTTAGGCTACTTTTAGAATATTGCATTCAATTCTGTTCACCCTCTATAGGAAGGATGTTGTGAAACTTGAAAGGGTTCAGAAACGACTTACAAGGATGTTGCTGGGGTGGAGGGTTGGAGCTATAGGGAGAAGCTGAATTGGCTGGGGCTATTTTCCCTGGAGCGTCGGAGACTGAGGGATGACGTTGTGGAGGATTTTAAAATCACGAGGGGCATGGGTAGGGTGAATAGCCAAGGTCTTTTCTCCAGGATTGGGGAGTCCAAAACCAGAGGGCATAGGCTTAAGGTGAGAGGGGAAAGATTTAAAAGACACCTTTTCATGCAGAGGGTGGTGTATGTCTGGAATGAGCTGCCAAAGGGGATGATGGAGGCTGGTACAATAACAACATTTAAAAGGCATCTGGATGGGTGTATGAACAGGAAGGGTTCAGATGGTTGTGGGCCAAATGCTGGCAAATGGGACTAGATTAATTTAGGATATCTGGTTGTCATGGATGAGTTGGATTGAAGGAGCTGTTTCTGTGCTGTAGAGCTCTATGACTATGTATAAGAAAAGAGTGGTTCAATGCCTTTAGTATAATAATATAGGGATGTTTAAAGTTTAAATGGAAAGAGGACATTTTTTAAGAAATGAAGGAGGACACAATTTTATTTATTCACTCGCTGGTTGGTCTAGCATTCATTGCTTGTTCCTAGTTACCCTTGAGAAGATGGTGGTGAGTTCTATTTTTGATTTGCTGCATTCTACGTGCTGTAGGTAAACCGACAATGCCATTAGGGAGGTAATTCCATTTTGACACAGAGACACTGAAGGAACAGCAATATATTTCCAAGTCAGGATGATGAGTGGCTTTAAGAGGTGGTTGTGGGTCTTGTGCCTGGAAGCCTGTGTCCAGTGGAGTTCTCCAGGGATCAGTGTTGGTGCCCTTGCAGTTTATGGTATATATAAATTATTTAGACTTGAATGTACGAGGGTTGATGAGCAAGTTTGTGGATGATATGAAAATTAGTGGGATGGTAAACAGTTAAGACAGTTATGGGAGGATTTAGGGCTGGTCAGGTGTCCTGATCAGTGGCAAATGGAATTCAATCTAGATAAGTGTGAAGTGATGCACTTTGACAGGACAAACAAGGGAATACATGATGAATGATGGGCCTCTAAGAACAGAGGATTAGAAGGATTTTGGTATGCATGCACACTGGTTCCTTATGGTAGCAGGAGTAGGTAGATAAAGTGGTTAAGAGGCATATTTGCTCTTAACAGCCAAGGCTTAGAGTTTAAGAGCAGGAGGAGAGGCTGTGGGAGGCTTGAAACCTTCAGTTCATATGTACATGTGCCCTGCTTGTCTTTAACGATAAAAGGTAAAGTCACCATCGTCTTATCAGACGATAGGACTATTCTCTCATTACAGACAGATGACTGGTGGTAGTTTAACTTGAGGGTCACCACACCTCAGATGAGGGAAAAGGTTGAAAAAGAGAGTCTTTCATTGTAACAGTGCAGGAATTGACCCCACACTTGTTGGTGTTTCACTATCGCAAACTAGCCATCCAGCTAACTGAGCTAACCAGCCCCTTGCTTATAGATATAGACTAGAGGCATTGAGTCTACATGAAGGAAGTGTGCTGCTAATTCAAGAACTGCAACCTATAGTCATATCTAGGGTATGAGAGCCAGTTGATTTGATTTTCTGTTCCTGCTTTTTCTACTCATTTTATTCATTAGTCTCACCATTTATTGTATAAATTCCTTAACATGCAAGCATATGTTGTATAGATTGGAGATGAAGCATGAAGAATGATGACTTGAAGCTGAATATGGAGGGAATATAAGACCATGCTGTTCAAGATTACTGGAGGTATGGAAAATTTATGAAGCCATGAATAACACCCACAACGTTTGGAAATCCTACCATTCATAAATAACGTAAAGCTCTGTCCCATTGCTCATGTAGAAATGATTCATTCTTGCTTTGGCAGACAATGCATTAGTCACCTGTTTCAAACAATGATGCAATAGAGATTTTTGCAGTGTCTCCTGTGGCTATGTGGAAATAATTCAGAAATCACAACATAGAAACAGGCTGTTCAGCCCAACCAAGTTGGAATAACCTCAAAGCAAATATTTAAGACAGCTGCTAACTTCACTGCATCAGAAGCTCCATAGAGTTCTGGGATCCAACTGAAGGTCCTCCTGCATTATATTACAAAACACTTCAGTGCTTTCATGGGGAACTGCGCTGTTTATCTGTCCAGGGCAGATAATTCCTTCATGGTCATGAAACTGCTGTCAGAACAGCAGTTAGTAGAACAATACTTACAAAAAATTTTCTCACTGCAACCTTATTTTGAGGCTGGAAAATTGCCTGAGAACCGTTATAGTTGGTGGGGGTAACAACAACTAGAGGGCTTGTGAGAAAGAGAGCACATCAGTTATAAATTCTAAATTCTGTCTACATGGCCTACTTCTGCCATGAGTAATTGAATATTTCATGGCAGCGATTGCTCTCCAGAACTCACAATTCATTCATTTTGGGTCCCAACCCAACTTTGGGAAACCCTAAAGTAGAAGCTTGACTTCTGCAATATCCTCTCACAATAAAAAGTCCATTTTTAAGATGTATGTCCCTGTTTCCTTTTAGGTTCATTTGCTAACATTATATTTAACTTCTTAGTCTCTGCAATTAGAAATTATGTTGTAGTTTTACATCCAGAACACACTGTTAATTTCTTAACCAGTAAATGTTGCAAATGTTAATTATCAGACCACTTTTTTGTCTGAATTTAAGGTAAACAAGTAGTTTGCTAGAAAATTTCTCTTTTCCTTTTATAAATGCCATTTAGATTATTTTTCAAACCTGGCTCCGAAGGGAAGTGATAGTCTTTTGCACATCTGCCACGAAGCCATTGAAATCCAGAGGAGTCTTGTCATTACTGGGAAAAACTGTTGAATTCAAAAATTTACTGAAGCCTTGCTTGTACCTGGTATTCATAAAAAAAAGTCAATCTTTTAACATACAAAGAACCAATTATTATCAGTAATAGATGAAGTGGGTACACTATAGTCAGTAAATTTTCAAAATGCTGTCTAGCTTTTTGAAAGGTATGTTGTCAGATAATCAATAAATTAAAAAATTCCCCTGAAAAACTCCAAATTAAATAATTCTTTTTTAAAAAGAAATAGCCTTTTCATGGACTTTTTTCAAACTAACAAAAAAAACTTTTTTGTCCCTTACAACTGTCGATCAGTTATTTTTCCTCACCTATTTCTTCATTTCAGAAGGAGATTCTGAATACTCCAGAAGAATTTTATATCTATAGGTACCAGCAGTCCTACAATGTCCAATGATCTGAACGGAAATGATCAATTGTTTGGAGCGTCCAAATTCAGCCTTATTTTAAATCATATGACATCCCTCAACATGATCTTGCCAAAGCCAACTATCACATCCCTCAATTCCTTGGCATCTTTCAATTTCATTCTAAGATACTGGATGGACAGCCAGTGAGACCCCCTTGTGTTGCTGATTTACAAGTGAGGTTACTGCACTTTTTGCCACTTGGGCACTTGACATGCCAGTAGCAGACTTTTCCTTGGGATCAAGGACCCTGGGAGTGGAATTCCTGTCTACCGTGTGTAGTTAGTAGTACCAACAGGGAGCCAGTTGCTGGATCACTGTCAGTGGCAGTAAGGTGTGACCCTTAAGTTGGCATTCATTGCACACTTACGGGCTTCAATTGATATTGGGGAAGGAAAGTCATCCAGAGGCTACAGACTCAATTTCAGTGAAGGCAGATAGATTGTGGGGTTGCCAGCTACTATCCTCCCACCCAATTAAATGCCCCTCCCACCCAAATAAAATCCTCCCCCCCCAACAACAAACTTGCCACCAGGAGGGCACAAGATTCCAGCCTGTGTGTGCATCAATTTCTTTTCATGTGGAGTATCTTATACTTGTTTGCATTAAATGTCATCTCTCATTGTCCTGCCCATTTATATAGATTATCCCATTCGCTGTTATTTATAAGAGGACTTCTTGAAACCGATTGTCCTTCTCAGTCTGGTATCATTTGCAAATTTGATATGTTTGCTTTAGGTATCTGTAAATGCAAATTAGAAACAATAGTAGACTCTCTCCATTAAAGCCTAATGGGACTTTGCTCAGTATTTCCCAAAAACAGAGGATAAAGACTTCCCTGAGTAGTTATTGTTTTATAACCTTCAGCCAATTTCTTATTCCATACTGGCATTTACCATGAATTCCTAATCATCTTGCATATGGTATCTATTTGTCTTAGATACAGTTTATGTCTCACTCCAATACCATGTACCAATAAGGGTTTTCAGCATTATGATAATTTAATGTTGCAAACTAAAAATGTTCTGTTGTAGTTCATCACAGAAATGAAGTCATCACATTGAAGTGAGTATGCTACAAAATGACAATGTATAAGACACAAAATTTGCCACTAGTGCAGCTGCAAATGGGATATGGTGATCTTTCAAGTGAATATATGCTGACAACAACATTATATTTGGTTCAAAACTATGTTGTGGGATCTGACCAGCAACTGGTACTTGATGTTAATTTGATTGTCTCCCTTCAAATACCATCTTTCAGTATTTCCACCAAAAGCGACTTACCTTCCTTGTTGTATATCAGATGTGTCTGTAGAATCTCTTGCATGCTTATCCTCTGGATAACTGAACTCTGATGAACGCTTACTACGGAATTGCTGTGAAAGTGCATTAGATTGTTCTCTTGCTCTACAATCTGCAAAAATAAGAGTTAATTCGGAAGCACTGCAAGGTACCGGTCATCTGCAGTCATATGTTTGTATTGCCATCCCAGGAATCTCCATGAAAATTACAATTCTACATCCCTTTTGTACGGTCATATCACCTTGCTACCTTTGGACTAAGCAAATATGTCACATAAATTTACAGTTTTATGCAACAATCACTTCACACTTGTTTTACCGGGTTTCAAGTGTAGCAAGTATGTGATGCACTTTGGAAATTACGCAGATTTCTTTTCATAGCAGAAATTCTGAATCGCATTGATATGCAGCTTTCATTTTAGAAATGGTACACTGTATCCAAAGGAAAAAGAAATTAATCCATATCACAGGGAATTTCCTTGGAGTTTCTCCAGCTCTGTTGCCCCAACTTTACCAAAAATGTGGTGGGAACTCCATCAACACCAGAAGAAGGAGCTTCCATTGCACTTTCAGTAAAGATGCAATGTCAAGTGGGAACAGCTCTAAAGAAATTCTGGGCTTGTATACAGGCCAACAGAGGATTAAAATAATAATGCTGCAATTATTGAAGAAAATTTTAGTCCTTTTAAAAATGAAAGATGAGCAAGTCTAATTACTGCTTCCATGTGAAGAATTGTTTCTACCAGTCTCTCAGGGAGAAAAAGTCCCCAAATCCTATAGCTTGTAGAGTAAACAAAAATATAAAACAGATCTTACCACTGCATAATTTCTAATCTCTGACAGTATGCAACTGCTATTTGCCTTCAAAGAAACTGTCCAGACATGTAACAACTTAAAAATCATGTTCAAGGTTTTCTGATTTGATGGAAATTTGATGCTGTCAGCTTTGCATCTAGCTGAAATCCTGATTGTTGACACAGGAGGAATGTCCTGTGTTCAACCTCACTATTCTAATCCAAGAAGGAAGCGAAAACATTGGAGATAGTGCAGAAGACGTTTACAAGAATAGCTCCAGAGATTGGAATTTCAGTTTATGAAGATAGATTGGAGAAATTGGGAACTGATTTTTCTTGGAAGAGAAGGCTAGGAGGAGATCTGAAATGGGTATTCAGAATAATGAAAAGTCTGGACAGAGTAGTTAAGGAGAAACTGCTCCCACTCAAAGAACAAGTGGGAACAGATCTAAAGTAATAGGTAAAAGCATTGAGGAAAATTGTTTTCATGCAGCAAATAGTTATGGGCTAAAATGCATTACCTTAGAGTGTGATAGAGGCAAGTTCAGTTGAGGCATTCAGAAGGTGCTTAAGACTGTTTGTGAAAAGCAACGATGTGTAGGATTACAAGAAGAAGCAGAACACTGGCATCAAGTGAAATGCTCATTTGGAAAGTAGACATGATGATCAAAAGGCCTCTTCTGCACAGCAATATTTCTGTGATTCAGTTCTTAAGGAAGCAAGAAAGTGTGCCAACATCTCCAGGCTGTTGCAAAGGTAGTTCAGAATATGAAGAATTTTGAATGTAATTACTAATCTGATGCCTGATTACATTCAATTCAGCTAACATTCCTTCTTGTCCAGTAAAGCAATGCCAATGCCTGTGGAACATTGATGTTGATCCAGCCACTCTTGCTGCAGCTAATAATGGAAAAATGCAATGTGATGTCACCCTCCCATTACCCAAGTCTACTGTTGAGTCATTGTATCCAATGGTAAATGACTGTTCAAGGGGTAAGTACCTTAATTGATGAAAATCTGCTGGGTACTAGGGTAATGATTCCTTGGTAAAATTAACTCTGATTTTCTATAATAATTATTTGCTAAAACCCATTTTAGTGTGCTGCCCGACTTCTTGAAATTCTGCTTTTACGAAGTAACTGCAAGACAAATGAGGTTTGAAAAACTGGTGGCCTGCATGAGTTGGTGAATGATTTGTTAAGAATTGCAGAGTGGCTTCACATTTTGATTTGCAGGCAAATATCTGTGCAAGACTTAAATTTGGGGAAGGCATTAACACCAGGGGAGACATATCTACACTGTTAAGCAAAGTCTCTTTGGACTCAAATGGTTCTGTATTAAGAGATCCGTAAGTGGAAGGTTGGAATCAAACCAAGCGATTGTGGCAGACTGAGTAATCTGATACCTGATTCAGGCAACATTATAGTACCCTAGACACTTTGGTAGGGTTACCCACAAGTCTGGTCTACTAATGGAATCCGAAGGGATACATCTGTAACTAAGCATTGGGATTCTTCTCAGTTGTCTCCCAACACTCTGCAGTGAATGCTCTACAATACACGTGCAAATCCAGTCTACTCTTCTTTTCCCATCATATTAATTTTCAGCTTGGATTGTTCAAATTTCACGGTCCTGGAGAATTAGAAAAGGTAATTCATTGATAGTTAGGAGATGGCAAATGTAGCAGTAGCCTTTTTGTAACATTCGAGAAGGAATCTTTATCATTTTCTAGACCCTGAAAGTTTAAAAGATTAAAGTAGTTCTTTCCAAATTAATGACGGACATTTAGGAGGTGATAGAAAAAGCTTTGGCAGACTGAAAGAAAGGGAATGAATGACAATTAGTGTAGTAGCTGGCAGTAGGTCAAGCGACAAAATAATCATGATTAATACTTAATACTCGTAACACTGCTCCGAATTTTCTTGTTACTGTGGTAATTTACAACTCCTCTACACCCACCTTTATGCTTTCTTCGTTGTCTCATACCACTTCTGATTCCTTGCACAATTAATACTTTTGTCATTTAGTCTCTTCTATGTTCTGTATCATCATAGTCTTTCCCTTTCATTTTTTCTGCTCACACTTCTGTCTGTCTCTATATTTCCTTCAACCTATTATATCTCGAACTTTTTTCCGGTAACAATAAACCTCAAAATTAGTTACCCTTAAACTTTAACTTGTTGCTCTCTCCCCAGTTGTTATTGGATCTGGTGAGCATTTTGAATATATTCTGTTAGAATTTTAATCATATGAAAGACAATGTGAACATAAAATTAATTTCAAAAGTCAATCTTGAATGAAAATCTGCATCAATGCAATATACACAAATGGGAAATCAACGTTAGAAAACAAGCACACACAACATGAATTCAACAGTGACAGACAGACAGCAGCAGATAGAGACTTGCACATTAGTGAAAGAGTGTAACGTAACTGTTATTTTTTAACTGTAGCTTCAATATTAAGTATATTTTGTTGCAGGTATTTTACTAATGCCTGTATTGTAATTAGATGAAACAGAATTTAAGTCATCTTTAAACTGTTTATTTCTACTCAAAAGATTCAACTTCTTCAGTTTTGGAATGTACTGCATATGATCATTGCTGTTTGGAGCATTTAACAATAGCTTTGATGTTTACCTACTCTCCACTCAAAGCTTTTAGATGTTTGCATAACAATGAAAAGAAATCTGGACTACATCAACCTAATCTTGCTATATATTCTTAGAATTTTCCATATTCATTTACTTGTTAAAACATATCTATGCAATGAGCAAAAGAAAAATAATCAGAATTGTGATCAATTTACATTTCAGAGTTTCTTTTTAAAAGCTCTTACATCCTAGCATAATCTAGACCATAAAAGATTTCTCACAATTTACTCTTTGTCATCAACAGCAATTAAAAATTTATATTATTTTCACCGGATACTGACAGAAGATTTTTGTCTTTTCAAAAGATTGTAAATGCATTCCAAAATAACTATGAAAATATATTATATATATTTTAGTATGGTATGCATTCAAATAGATCTTTGATTGCCATATCAAAGATGTCTGACATGAGACGCAAATGCTTCTGGATGGTATTGCTCTTATACCTTTGCATTTGTTCCCTTTGATAAAAATGCATGAATTTTGAAATCTGTGTTTGCATTCATGTTGTTAAAAAGACTCGCCTCGATTAACAGGTTTTGAAACTGTCTCCTCGAGATAAGTCACCAGCTTAGACAGTCTTATGAGTTGCTGACGCACATGGTAAAAGGACTCCCGCAAACCTGGAAGTGCAAATGAGGTACATGAACTGCACAGCTTCACTGTATACAATTAGCAATCAAAGGAAAGATTTTCACTACAACATTAGGCTTGAATATATTTGAATAGCCTTTAACATTTATTTGTGCTTGCTTGTTTGATCCTTATGCATCTTGAATTACAAAGATTTAAAACTTAATTTTTCACTCAAACGATGAAAGTGAATACTGGTTATTGAATTTCAGGGTATTCATTTCACTGAGGGGTAGTGCTTAAATGATGGACTTTCACTACAACAGTTTTCAGACATCATCTAAAGTTTGAGGCAAAATTATTGACTTTGCAGGTCCTGACATTTGTGTATTATTTTGTGATATAATGGGGTACAATTTCTTTGAGTTCTCATTATCTTCCAGTATGACTTCAATGGAAATACTGCAGAAATGGATTAAGCACAGAAAGATTGGCAAATTTCTTGCAGAAAGTCCATGTAATTAAGTTTAATTTTAAACTGCTCAGTGAGATGAGCCAGGTTTTACTAATTATAAGTTAAACAGTTAGCTTGCCAAATATATTTACCAATAAACCCTGGAAATATGTGGCATTAATAGAAAACTTTCATCAGGAAACAGCCTTTTTATTCCTGTCTACTCATATGATATGAATATAATCTCCAAAGCAAACCAACGTTTATTGCTTATCGGTAGTTGCCCTGAAATAATGGTTGTTGGCCTACTTGCATTGGATCAATTTATTTTTTTAACACTAAGCTCCTTCAAAAAGTCCTTCAAAAACCATTTTAATATGGGATTGGAATCATATATAGGCTAGACCAAGTAAAAATGGCAGATTTTCAAGATAGTGTGCAGACACAATTGGGTAATGTAAACAATGCTGAAATTCTGCTTAAGCATTATAGCACCACATGAATGATACACTGCTGGACAACAATGTGTGGGCGATTTTTACTATCACAGCTACAGGGGTAAGTTGGAAAATTGTCAGTCAATGGAAGTCTAATGGGGAGAGTTTGTATAATGGATGAATGACCCGCTCTCTCAGTACACAGCCCAATTGATGAAGGTAAAAATTGGTCCTGAGGTGTGGTAGATTGTCACAGAATAACAGAAAAATACTTTGGATCTTAATTTTAACATGTTTTGTTATATATTCTTGGTGTATTGAAGTTGTATTCTTAACTCAATAAAGCATACTGATAATACTAATCACCTCTCTACTCTATAAACTTTATAGTAGTTGAAAATTTTACAGTAACTCGCCTCTCTTCTTGTAATTACGAGCACGGTGGTAGATGCGATTGTAGCGCTGGATGAGCAGTGATGTGCGATTATGTAATTCGCGAACATTAGATACAAGACCTGAAAGAAGAGCTTATAACAAACAAATAAGGTAACAGATGGACACACTTCAGGAGAAATAGACAGAAATTGTTACAACAGCACAAAAAGACAAAACAAAAGGAGGTACATAAAACAGATATGTAAAAACAACACAAAGCATACACTCAACCAAATATACGACATCAATTGTCACAAAAATGTATGTTAATACATGATAGCATTTTAGCAAAGTAAGTGAAACTTTTAAAAGAACACATTATAAATGGAGGAAACACGATTAGAAGAATCATTCATCATATATGTTGTAATGTTATTATGGATACTGTTTAAAAAATCAGTTCACTAGATGTCAGATTTCATAAAGTATTAATAATCTTGAGAAATAGATTTTGTTTGTAATTTCTAATTTCTCCATTGTACTCTGAGGAAGGTACATACTTTTTACTATAGAATTTACATTCTTAATTTTACCTCAGAAGATAATGATTAATAATTTTATTTAGTGGTACAAATAATTTCTTGAAATGTCAGTTTCCTGTTCTCTCTGATATTATAATTCTCCATGTTTATATTTATCTTCAAATTCAACTATGAAATTGTTTCTTGGTTGGCCTCCATAAACACAATCTACTCTGTAACTCAGCTTGTACATTGAAACTCACAAGAAGTTCGGTTCGCCTCTGTGTTCAGTAATATAATCTGTATCCAAGTCCAGTAATGTAATGTTTAAAAACTCTCATCCTCATGTTCATATCTCTTCTTAAACTTATTCCTTTCATCACTCCAAATTCCTTCAATTTTGCTTTTCCCCACGTCTTCCACTTCCTTTGCCATACCATTGCTGGCCAGGCTTTTAGGCATCTAGGCCCTACACACTAGGATGTTCTCCATAAAGCTTACCATCTTTCTAATTCTCTTCCCATCTTTAAAACCATTCTGCAAATTATTTATTTGACCAACCATTTGGTCACTTTTTCTAATGTCTGCTTCATTACAATCTGGAATCTCAGTGCCATTAAGGTTACTAGTATCCGACTTCCTAAGGCATATCCTGGATTCTGATGTAAAATACAGGGTTCCATTAAACTTTGGATGTCTGCTGCCAATGCATGAAATTAAACAGATACATTCGTATGCATTAGACATTTCAAAATGATACATCATAATTCTAGTAATTTGAATTTCAGGGCTTGATTTTACCAGCCTTTTGGAAATGGGTAGTGTCTAAACATCACAACCTGGATCCAAGTTCTTGATGTTCTTGACAGATAAGGACTGGAAACCATACTGGTGGAAAATAATGAACCTTTATTAACTACTTACACTCTTTACATAGTTTAGCAGAGCCTCGTTAGAACCTTCTTCCCTTGGGTCTGAGATCCATGTGATCTGACATGATTCGATATCACACTCTATTAGCATAACAGCTATTAATCCCTCAAGCTACAGCTCCTCCCTAGTTTTTCATTCTATTCCCAGGATCCTCAGTAAAGCATTTGCAGATGTTATCCACATGTTTAAATATCATAACCAGGTTCTGGGTGCTTTTGACAGAGGAGGTGTGAACACCATACTTGTGCAAACTTAAGTATTTACACTATTACAGAAACATGGTTCAGCAGGACTCTGTTAGGATCTTTATCCTTCAGGTTTAGTTCAATGTCACAGAATCGCTATGGTGCAGAAGGAGGCTTTTCAGCTCATCATGTCTTCACCAGCTTTCTGAGAATTTTAACTTACTGCCAATTTCTAGTCTATAACCCTGCACATTTTTTGAAAATCATCTAATACCTTCTTGAATGCCTCAATTAAACCTGCCTCCTTCTGAGGAAGGGTCACCGGACCTGAAACGTTAACTCTATTTTCTCCTTCACAGATGCTGTCAGACCTGCTGAGCTTTTCCATCAACTTTGTTTTTGTTCCATCAAACATCCAGGCAGTATATTCCATACCCTAATCATGTGTGAAAAATATTATTCTCATGTGACATAATTGATGATGCACACAACTATTAGCAAAGCAGCCTTTATGCTACAACTAGAGGGTGGAAATGATTGGAACCCTTGACATATCACCATCAAATTGACACAAACATCATATTCTTGACTACCTACTGGGTAGCTAATTGAGCCAATTAAATGCCTATTTGAATGACACCTCCCACATCCATCAGCATTAAATTGGCATCAGGAAAGTGCTCTATTGCTTGAGAAACTGATAGGTAAATCCTGGCATTTTCTCAGTGGATTCCTGTTGTTGGGTGAGGGAATCCTCAGCTACTCCATAGGCCACAAAGGGGCATCCTGGTGGTAAAGGCCATCCTGTGGCTGAAAGGACAATACCCCAACTCCTGATCCCCACAACACACACACATGAAAGCCCCTGTACTACCCAACCCCACCTTCAACCTCCCAATTGCCAGCATTAGCCATCTTGTTTGAATATTGGTTATATTCACTGAGCTATTGGTGTTTCAGGATTATGCTTTTGAAAAGTTTAATAAATACCAGTGTAAAAATCATTTGGATTTGTATATTCTTAATGATTCATGATGCAAAAATAACTCACCAATCTCCACTTTGAGGAAATTTGAAGGACATTATAGCCTAGGTTCCAAGGAAGGGAGAAGTAAAATCTTGGGATATATAAATAGATCACATAAAACCCTGCCACATTAGGCAATGTTCCTTGGAAAAGTAAATAATGATTTCTTCTCCTGTTCTACACAACAATGATCTAAACTTAATGGAAATGAATGAAAGATTAGAAGCAGTACATGTTACTTTAATTTACACTGGATTGAACTGACCTTCACAACAATCTTGCCATAATCGCAAATCCATTTTTGGAATTTCATCACAGGTCACATACCCTTGGGGGTATTCTGCTTTTAAAAAGACATCCTTCTGGACCTGCTGAATATCATCGCCATTATCACAGAGCACACTTGCTAGGGAGCTTTGCTTCAGTTGTGTTACTTGAGCTGGGGTAAATACGCCTGGATTTTCATACCAAAACCTAGGGTGACACATAAAAAGATGCACGTGGCTTTGAATGTTATTTAATTTCAACATGAAACACAATATATATTCAAATTAAATATTATTTCACTCAAAAACCACAATATGTAATTTTTAACAGTACAGTTTATCGGAGCTTGCTTCACTCTAAATCATTTTATTCATTTTTGAAGGGCTGAAGAGCCTTTTCCAACACTGTGGGCCTCTATTGACTCTATTTCTAGTGACTGAAGGCTTTGATGCCTATTAATTCTGTATGACATTAGCGTTTTGGAGCACATGTCTTCTATTTAACTTTGACTCATGAAAATCATTTACAGGAGAATAAAACATATTAAAAAGTAGAGATGTAATCTGCATGTTACCTCATACATATTACATAGATTGGAGTGAAGCGAGGGGGGATGCGTGGGTAGGGAGTAGATGGCGATTCAGGTGGGAAATATTGAAGTCTGCGTTGACCATTATCCATAATTTTCCCTCAGTAGATTTCTGCTTCCACTTCTGCTTGTTGAATCAAGATCACAAAATAATGTCTGTACTCTGCCAATATTTCTAGGGGCAGTGCTAGCTAAACCTAACATGAGCACCTGAAATGGTTATCCTGATAATGAAGATTTTGAAATGTAACCTAAGGATAAATCTTGAGATGTCAAATGATGTCTCAGTGACTATTGCATCTGGCAAATGGTTCCATTGTAGGTTTGTCCTTGAGAAGCAAGATGGTTGATAGACTATCTTGGAAATAAATAATCTTTCTGGTTTGTGTGGATGGCTGCCTCACATTTGGTCATTGATAGAGAGCGTTAAATACTTGTTTCTGTCAATTACTCACCCAGAAATCGGCCTGATCGATAAGCTTGCTTTCAGTTGGGCAGATAACATTAAAGAACAAGCTGCAGTACCAAACATATCCACTAGCTAGGGCTGGGGATCAGTTGAAATCCTGATCCTTGTGGCTTTTGTATGTTAGGGTTACCTTATGGGACTGGACAGATGTGCTCTTTTCCCTGCCCATGTACTGTACTGTTGAAAGTAATTCAACTGCCTTTCATCAATTAAACAAACAAGTATTTCATCCCAGCAAATAGCACTTCTCATCACATTCCTTATGTCTGACTTTCTACATAGTTGGTGTATTAAAATAAACTAGGAGGTATTATCTCATAGAACTCCTTACTCACTGACACAATGGTGAACAGCACTGACTTATAAATGCTTTAAAAATCAATGCTAAATCAACCTGTCTTTCTAAAGATTGTTTGAATCAATAATTCTTTTGAGAACGTGCTATAAAACCATTTTAGAGATACTGATGGTTTCCTGGCTTATATAAATGAGTCACCTTTACTTAATTTTAAAGAAAAAAATGGATTTGTTGTAGTTTCTGAAAAACAGGCAACTAGCAAATAAAACCAGAGAATCACCTTAACCACTCAGTTGATGCTCAATATCTGCCTGATGCAAAGTTCACATGGGTCTGTAAATGAGTGAGCAACATATTGCTTGTTTCGAGCAGTGGGAGACTACTACACTGACTACTGCTGCTACTTTCAATTTTTTATTACAAATTAACAGTGTATACACGGCCTATTGAAGCAACAATTATGACTAATTAGTCATCTCTAAAGGGATAAAAGCAAATGTTAAATGAAGAATCATTGACGTAAAATATTGGGCTAAACTTGATTGGTTGTCAGCTCTGCCAACTGGGAACTTAATTGACTGAAAGACCCATAGCTGGCCAACTAGATGCTAAGGGGTTAAAGCATATTTGGCATCCTGCCCAGAAGTAGTGTAAGGTTTCTGCTAGTTCTCTAACAGATGGAGGCCTGTGAGTAAATTGTTAATTCACTAACTCTTTCTTAGGGAGTCAGTCAGCATCCGTTCTAAGTGTTTTTGGCACTTTTTGTTTTTAAAAGGACTGCTGGAAATTCCTAATACAAAATAACTGAAGAAATTTGAAATTGATCACTTCTTTGTTTTTGGACCCCATTCTGTCACCAGGAGTAAACTGCCATCTGGTTTAATAAAGGATTTGGCCAATTTCCTAAACTTGCACAATAACTGGGATATGGTACTGCTCCTGCTTTCTACACAAAATCACCCCCATTATCTCATCTGAAAGATGACACTTCTGGCAGTGCAGTCATTTTGTTTACTTAAATTATGCACTCAAGTCACAATTATTTGAATCAAGCCCAAGAGCGTTACCAACTGAACAAGACTAATGCTGGTTGATGTTGATGCTGTGTGTTACTTCCTTGTTTCCTTCAGCTCTTTCTGTTTCAAGTTTGAGTGGAAAAAATTGAATTGAAGCCATTAACCCACATATTCTTCTTTAAGAGTTAACACAGTGTGGAGCTGGAGGAGCACAGCAGGCCAAGCAGCATCAGAGGAACAGGAAAACTGACGTTTTGGGTCAGGACCCTTCTTCAGAAATAGAGGAGGGGGAAGGGAGCTCTGAACTAAATAGAGAGAGGAGGAGTGGGGCTGGGGAAGGTAGGTGGGATGGTGATAGGTGAGTGTAGGTAGGCAGTGGTGGTGATTGGTCAGTGAGGTGGGAGAGAAGGTGGACAGGTTGTGTCAGATCAAGGAGGCAGGGATGAGAGGGAGGGTTGGACATGGGATGAGGCCGGGGGTGCAGAGGTGCAGGAAATGCAAGAGATGCGGTCAAGAGCATTTTTGACCATAGCTGGTCAACTAGATGCCAAGGCGTTAAAGCATATTTGGCATCCTGCACAGAAGTAGTATAAGGTTTCTGCTAGTTCTCTAACGGATGGAGGCCTGTGAGTAAATTGTTAATTCACTAACTCTTTCCTAGGGAGTCAGTCAGCATCCATTCTAAGCTGCAGTCCTTGAAATAAGAGGACATCTGGGATGTTCGGGAGTGGAATGCCCATCTTGGGAGCAGACGCTGCAGAGGAATCTCTTGTGTTTCCTGCTCCTCTGCCCTCACATCCCCTCCCCACAACAAAAACAAAGACAGAATCCCCCTTGTACTCACGTATCACCCCACTAACCACAACATGTCGTTCTCTGCCACTTCTGCCACCTGCGATCGAAATCCACAACCAAGGATATATTTCCCTCCCATCCCTATCTGCCTTCCATAGCGACTGCTCTCTCCACAACTCCCTCATCCGCTCCACACTCTCCACTAGACCCACCACCCCTGGCACCTTTCCCTGCCACTGCAGGAAGTGCTACACCTGCCCCTACACCTGCCCCTACATCTCCACCTTCACCTCCATTCCAGGCCCCAAAAAAACCTTCGACATCAGACAGATGTTCACCTGCACATCTGCTAATGTGGTTTACTGCATCCGCTGCTCCTGATGTGGCCTCCTCTAATCGGTGAGACCAAGCGGAGGCTCTGAGACCGCTTTGTAGAACACCTGCGCTCTGTTTGCGACAAACGACAACACCTTCCAGTCGCGAACCACTTCAACTCCCCCTCCCACTCCCTGGACGACATATCCATCCCCACAACGATGCCACCCGGAAACTGGAGGAGCAGCACCTCATATTCCGCCTTGGGACCCTACAACTCAATGGTGTCAATGCGGACTTTACTAGTTTCAAGATCTCCCCACCCCCGGCCTCATCCCATGACCAACCCTCGCTCTCATCCCCGCCTCCTTGACCTGTCTGTCGTCTCTCCCACCTATCTGCTCCTCCCACCACTGCCTACCTGCACTCACCTATCATCATCCCACCTACCTTCCCCAGCCCCACCCCCTTCTCTTATTTATTTCAGAGCTCCCTTCCCCTTCCCCCTCCCCCAAGAAGGGTCCTGACCCAAAACATCAGCCTTCTTGCTCCTCTGATGCTGCCTGGCCTGCTGTGTTCCTCCAGCTCCACACAATGTTTACTTTGACTCTAGCATTGGCAGTTCTTACTATCTCTGAGTGAGTTATTCTTCTTTCAGGTTTTTGAGTAGATTTGTAGCTCGTGTTGTGATGTTGTGGTTGGTTGGCTCGCCGAGCTGGTTTGTTGTTCTGCAGACGTTTCATTAGCCTGCTGGGTAACATCATCAGTTCAGCCTCCAACGAAACGCTGTTGTGTTTTCCCGCCTGTTGTTTAAACTCTGGTGTCCGTTGAGCTGGGTTACCTCACTTCTGGTTTTCCTTTGCAGTGGAGTATACATAGGGTCTAGCTCTATGTGTTTGTTGAGGGCCTTCTTAGTGGAGAACCAGGCCTCTAGGAATTTCCATGCTTGTCTCTGCCTGGCCTGTCCCAGCAACCTGGTGTTGTCCCAGTCAAACTGGTGGTTGTCCTTATCCATGTGGATAGAAATGAGTGAGTATTGGTCGTGCCTTTTTGTTGCTCGTTGATGTCCATGTATTCTTGTGGCTAATTTTCTTCCTGTCTGTCCAATGTAATGTTTGTCGCAGTCTTTGCAGGGGATCTTGTATATGATGTTGGTCCTGTCCATAGTGGGTAACAGGTCTTTGGTTCTGGTTTGCAGTTGGTGTAGGGTTGATGTGGGTTTGTGTGCTACTCTGATGCCCAGTGGTCATAGGAGTCTTATGGTCAGTTCAGATATGTTCTTCATGTAAGATAGTGTGATGAGTGTGTCGGGGCATGTAGTATCTTCCTGAGTGTTGTTCAACGTAATAGGCATCTTCTGACCCAGTTGTTCGGGTATCCATTGTCCTTGTATACTTGGAGGAGGTACTCTTCTCTTTAGAATAGTTTGGTGTTGGTGCAGTGTGTAGTTGCCCATTTAAATAGGGTTTTCACGCAACTTCACTTGTGGGTGTTAGGGTGGTTGCTATTGAAATTCAGTACTTGGTCAGTGTGTGTGGCTTTCCTGTGTACCTTTGTTAGAAATTCCCCATTGGTCCTGCGTTCCACCATGACATCTAGGAATGGAAGCTGTTTGTTCTTTTCCTCTTCCTTGGTGAATCTGATCCTAGTGATATTCTTCTTTAGAGGCTGATGAACCTGCTGTTTGTTTCTAGATTTTACCATTTAGAATTCTTTATTGCAAAT